TCATTGGGGTTCGCAATCGCATTGAAGAGCAGGGTGTGCCTTGAATGGGAAAGTTGGAGCATGCTGGTAATTATGCCGGTCATAATTCAACGCCTTGGGCTCACGTGCAACTCAAACGAAATCTCAACTTCGAACCAGACAGCCCTTCAATAGCTGAGACCCTATATCAGCAACCCTGCAGAACTCTTGCAACAGCATACCAACATCCACACAGTAGCTTTCGGCTTTCATGGAAGCGAAACCGAAGCTGTATTCTAAAGGCTCGAAAGCGTAGGACTGAGTAGGCTGTGTAGGCCTCAACTTTCAATTTCCAGGCCCGGAAGGTGTAAGGTTGCCTTTGGTTGCTTCAGCGTCTGAAGGTTTCAGGACTGGCTCATGGAGAAAACACTAAAGCCAGAACGGTATTAGGGTCGTTGGCTGCCTTCCAGTTCGTGACGACTCTTGCCGGTTGCTGTCTGCCAGACTCGTCACCGTGATCGCTCCAATGCTCCAAAACCCCATGCCAAACCCTATCACAATGAAATCCTGCATCCCGACACCCTTCGAGAACAACCCTCAAAGCCTGTCGTCAGGCAAGTCTGCTGGCCGGGATAGTTGTTTTTCTTCCGGGCGGCTGCTCCACAGGAAGTGGCACCGTTTCGTCTCGGGACTTGAGCTGAACCTTGCCAGACCGGCCGGGATCCCAGAGTTTACTTTGATGCTCCCGGACAGCGGCCCTGCGTGGAAAGGCCGGTAATGTGTCCAAGGTGTCCGTAATATTTCGAGTCAGCAGTCCGTTGTGTGTTAGTCGGAATCGGGAAACAACGCATATTCAACCAAGACCACGAACCGATGATTCAGCCTGACGTCCATGCCAATGTCAATCCAAACCATCACGATATTCAACAATGTCACAATGACAATCACAGTAATCAGCGCCGCTATCTTCAACACAAAAACCAACGATAGTGCAATACTAGTTGGTATTGCCGTCAACACAGGGCGCTTCATAATTCATGCCAAACACCACTGTCACATCATCGTCACTGTCATGAGCGTCACCACCATCATCATCATTATCAGCATCATCATCATCAGCATCATCATCATCATCATCATCACCACCATTACATATTGCCACCCTAGCAACACTGCCAGCTGAAACAACGGTGACACCGGCCGGGCTGCCAGATTGGAGCGATCAGTGCCCTGGCGTCCGTTGCCTGCACTTCGACTTTCACGCTCAACGAGGCATTGTGTAGCCCTTCGACAAACCTATTCTAAAGGGGCGGACAGGATGTTCCAATGTCTTCTCGGGTTCATGCAGCTCCGGTTGAAATACAACACCTTCAACCTAGCTCAACACCAGGGCGTGCACCTTGAAAGAGTACAACCATGCTGCTGCGAACACACTGGCAAAACGTGGCCTTCGAAATGATTCGACTACGCTGATCCTTGACGTTTGAAGAAATTGTAAACTGTAAGAAGTGCTTAACCTGTCCCGGCTCCAATCGATAGACAAAAAAGGAGCCACAAGACATGCAGGCCCGCACGATCCATCCCGTACCATTTCCCTACAAGCAACCTTGCATCCGAATCTTCATTACCGGACAAGTAGAAACGTTAAGACATTAAGAAATGACCCTGAAGCTTGAGAACCGCACACGCCTGCATTGCCATTGTTGTTGGCGTCGGAACCAGTCCACTGGAAATGAAGCAGCGTACCCTGCCTTGGTAGAGGTGCGATGCTTCTCCAAAGACATGAGAATTCCCTTCGAACAAAAATTGAAGACTAAAGCAGAACACAGTCCGCTGCGGGTTTGGTGGCAGTGTAGTGCTTCGGGCTTCAGGCTCGGAGCATGCACCCCTTGACCATACTGCTGATCGGGTAGATGTGCATAGTGCCTGTAGCGCAGATGCGCAACATACATATCTGCAACAGTTTACGTTTAGGATGCACGTCTTCAGCTGCAAGACAAGGGCGCTTCCAGCCCCACACTGGCCCCACATCCTACTTCGCGCTCTTCTAGAGGGAGGGAGGGTGTCCCATGCAACCCAGTCCGAGCGATGGTGGTGTGTAGGCTCGACATAGGGACCCGTGATGAATAATTCAGTGTTGACCAGAAGCGGGGTGCGATTGGGAATGCAGCCTCAGGTTGCGGTTAGGAGATTGAGCTTTGTATGGTGTGCCATGGGTGAGAAATTCAGTTGCCGTGCTTTGGCTGTTGAGTCTTTCCGGATCCGGACCGTTGGCGGGCCGGGTCACTCCACAGAGAGCTCAGAGGGAACGAAGTCGTACTCCACCGAGGGATACACCTCTCCAGCATAGGCATGATTGCGCGAGCATTCACGTTGATTTCACGCCTCCGTGACATGTCAAGACTTCACAACTCCCGCTAGGTGCCCACAGCGTGCGGAACATCTGCACAGACTGGCAAGTTTGGCATACCAGTACTGCAAGTGCATGTGGATACTATTCAGATCGCACTGCACGCCAAGCACAAACAGCTAGCCGGGACCATCGACGACAACGGAACAACCATTCATGAGCACAGCACTTGTCGCCAACATCACCATCATGGTCACGATCGTGTCTCTCGTCACCATGTCGTCATGTCAGATCATGTCAGCATGACGGACAACAGGTACGGCTTAGTCACCACCACCAGCACCAACATAAACAACAATCATCATAGTCATCATCATCTACAGCAGTATCAGCAGCGTTTAGCATCACCAGGATCTGCATCACGATCACAACTACCACAACCAGCACCAGCACCAGCACCAGCACCAGCACCAGCACCAGCACCAGCACCAGCACCAGCACCAGCACCAGCACCAGCACCAGCACCACCTTCGCCACCACCACCATCCTCCTCATCATCGTCATCACCTTCATCATCACTGCACGCAATCTACGTAGAGGGACCACTATTCAATTCGTGCACGAGGAAGGCGTTAGCACGAGGCCCACAACAACTGAATTTCTTCGATCCTGCTGTCCTCATACCACTGAAACTAGAAGACGAGTGGCCCGAAAGCATCATTAGCCATGAGTTTTGGGGCCATGAGTGTCGGCTATAGAGAGTCTATAGAGAGTCTAAAGAGAGTGTCGTAGAGTCAAGTGTGGTAAAGTCAAGTGTCGTAGAGTCAAGTGTCGTAGAGTCAAGTGTGGTAGAGTCAAGTGTG